AAAAAACAACCCATCTGGGCCACCCACATTGTCCTGCACCCATACAAGAACGAAGAAGAGAATTTGGTCCAGGTCTCTAGCTAGTGTGGAAGGGAATGAATGACCGGGAGTCCCCTTCCTCGGTTCTTCTAAATGAGAAAGACTCCTTCCCTCAGTCCACCTCCGCTCCCCACCTCAAGCCCTCAGAGCCAAGCTGGGGGACTTGCAGATGCCTCTCACCCTCCCCCGCTCCCCTTTCCTACAAGGCGGTTGGGCACACCGGGGATCTCGCCCCCTCCGCTGCCGGGGAAGCTTCCAGCCTCTCTTCTTCTAACCCGTAGACTGCAATTACTTTGATCAAATGGCACCTGCAGAACTGGGGAAGAGGCAGGGGGTCTTGAGAAGGCTACAAAGGTGAGTCTAAGTAGATCAAGGGTCTACACTTTCCCTAGAGTATCTCACCCCAGGAAACCAGTGAAGACCTACCGGAGGAGGGCAAAGAGCATGTTAGGGAATGTGGGTAAGTAGGATGGGGTGGGGGAAATGCTTAAGCACCTCAGTGCTTCAAGATTCCTTTCTTACCTGCTGGTGCCCTTGGGATTCTGGGGGACATCTTCTGGAATACTCTAAGGTGGTGAGCCAGCCTGAAGTTGTTCCTGGGGCGGACCAGTTGGTGAGGTGGTGGGGGGCAGAGTAAAGAAGAGATCCTAGGCAAGGCCTAAGTGCTCAGAGCAGAAGCCTAGTGCAGAGGAGCTGTGGCCTCTATTTTATTTGAAAACAACTGCAGGCAATCAAGCAAAGGTTGGTTGTCTTCAGCCACAGCCCCCTCAGGCTTTCCCAGAATTGAAAGCCTGCGAGAGAGACTTCCACAATTCAGTTCACCTTTTAGCTCATCAGTCTTGTTATCATTACAGTGTGAAAGGCTTTGAGAATAGAGAAAATATGTTTACTAGTGATGGTCAAAATACTTGGGAAGCCTAAAAAATATTATGATCAGAGCAAATGCCATCCTGACCCCTCTGTCCCTGAGGAAGCCATCATACATGTAAGCATACAATAAAACACAAGCACATGTGCAGAGGGAAATAAAAAGAATTGCTTCCTGTTCAGAATTTCACTGGGGGAAAAAAAGCCTAGGTTTACAATGTCACCACTTCAAATTCTGTTAAATGTATTAAATAATCTGCAAGAAATATAACTGTCAGCCAACTATGGTGGGGTACACCTTGATAACAGCACCTGGGGGGCTTTGGCAAGAAGACTAGTTTCAGATCAGCCTGGGCTACACAGTGAGATCCTATCTCATAACAAAAGAAAGAGAAAGAAAGAAAGAGGAGTGTGTGAGAAAGGAGAAAAAGAAAGAAAAGAAAGCAAGATGGAAAGGGAGAAAGAAAGAAAAGATGAAAGAAAAGAAAATATAACTAATATTGTAGAAAAGAGCTGCACTACTATTTAACATAGTGCTACAATTTCCAGCAATTTTCAATTTCTTGAAAATACAGACTATATGGACTATTTACCTATCTGTACTGATCCTTCTTAGAATCTCTGAGTGAAGCCTAGATTGAGAATAATTGAGTGAAAGCGAACATGTTCATACTTAATGCACTGTTTCAAAGTTGTTTTTCTTGCCTGTGAGGCTATTTATAAAGTGCACTAGTAGGCACTTTTTGGCTAATAAATACAGGCAACACTGTGGTTAGACATGTGAAAATTTTTAGTATTATAATTTTATGTTTAGAAAAAAACACCCATTATTCACCTAATTTAAACTGCAAAAATATTTTCTATCAGCAGCAGATAGAGGTCCTACGATATTTGGGCACAGAGATTCAGTTTTGGTTTGGCCTAGAGTGTGTTAGTTAGTACATGGTGATAAGTAAAAATTTGTCTTAGACACTTTGCATTAGTGAAAAGGTTCAGCCAAATGTTCAGTTTTGCTGTAAAAAGATGTGTGTGTTTTTAAAAGATGAGCTATGTCACTTTCTTATATTTTAAAATGGCTTACTAGTCATGAGTAATGGATAATATGTAGTAACAAGTAAGATATTATATAAAGCAGAGTAGGCTATATTGTGTGTATGTGAGGTTCAGAGTATATATTTTAAAATTCAACAGTCCTCAAAGAAGGAAATTGGACAAGAAGTTTCAGTTTACACACAGTGCCAGCTAGGATCTGGGCCACATTGCGATTAATAGGTTGTGCTTTTATAGGTAGACTCTATGATAATAAAGAAAAAAAACAAAACAACCAGGATTTTCCAAATAACTTCACAATAAAAATGTGACCATTGTATATCAATTTGGAAGTAACAAATTGACATGCAATGTATCAGGTTTGTGTAGATAAAAAAGTAGTGATGCAGATAATAATGCAGGTTTTATGTTTATATGTATGTGGACATTAAACATATGGCCTCTGGCCTGCTAAGCTACATTCCCCAATCTAATGTGGAATTTTATTGTACACATGTCTAGTCATAAAATGAAGACATAATATACGAGTTTGCTAAAACGTTAAAAACATTAAACAATGATGGCTTACATAACTGCATTAATATTAAATTATTAATCCAAGCAACATGTAACCACTTGTATCAAGGAATTGTATGAATCCCAATATAATCAGTAAAATATATCCTTCTAAATCAAGATAGCCATAGAGGAAATACATAAACAGTGAAATATATAATTACATATTTATATAATTAACATCTCAGATGTTTATGGGTGTAATTTCATGCAAAATGTTTGGAAATTGCACATATTTTCAAGACATCTCTTCTATCCAAGCCATCTATATGTTCTTTTATTATACTTGTTGAAAACAGGACCTTTTACAATGTACGTCTAAATAACTTTACACATGATTACTACAAATTGATTTATACTTAAACAACAGGAAATTAATTATTTCTTTCAGGAAACTTATTTTTATATTTTTCATATTCCACAATAAATACACTATAAAATGCTGTTTTATACTGCTGAAATTAAAAAAAACATAATTATAGTATTTGCATATATTATTATATTCAAACTTACACATTAGTGGCTAAAGCTTTGCTGATACTCAAAAACTGCCCTGAGAAGATCTTTGAATGCTTTCAAGTCAACTAAAATGAAATCTAAAAAGCCATTAAATCCTTTGTAAATTCCTTCTAATAAAAAGAACTGTCATAATAATAATAATAATATGAAAATATGAAGTGTCCGCTTATTGTAAACCTTCTAGACGTTTCTCTAACCGAACTCTCCCCCCCCCCATAGTTTTAACTGGTTTGCCTTTCCACATCAAGACAATTAATGGTGCTATAAAAACATGTCTTCCTCCACCGGCCTTTGTTTTTTGGAGCTGTGTGTTCTCAAGGAAGTGATGCCACTAAGAAAGGTTACCAAAATGAGGCCTTAATATTTTAATACTCAGCATCTAAGTTGTAATTGTGATTCTGCATTTTATAACTCTATATATGTTTCAATTTTTCTGGTGAGAGGAAATCACACAACCGAGTAAAGATGAGTCCAGTATGTATAAGGACAAAAAAATCTATCAGATTCTATTTTTCAAGAAGTAGGCCTCATTTTTAAAGTTATGTTAATTTGTGGTGGGAGATGATTAATATATGATCAAGTATAAGTCCCCAGGGCCAGCACTGTAACCCAGTCATCTATGAACTATAGGAGCAAGGGTCCGCAACAGTTTTTATAACTTAGGCCCAGCAAGAGTCGGCTGCTTTCCTTTATCCAGAAAAGCCTTCTGTTGGCTTTAGAAGCCCCTGAAAACAAGAAATTTTCTCCTGGTAGAACTTAATGATCCTTGATGAGCGTATTTCAGGAAGTCACATTGCGTGCATGCCCTACCTCGTGTCCTCCATACTACTTACTCCTGGAAGGAGGGTGGAGTGGGGAACAAAAAAGAGAGAGAGGGAGAGAGAGGTGGGCGTGTAGAAAACTGTTAGCATTAATCTTCCCCAGGTCGAAATAGAATGATCTAGAAATATACCTCACTGTGTGTGTGGTGGTGTGTGTGTGTGTGTGTGTGTGTGTGTGCGTGCGCGCGCACACGTGTGCTCTAACTTCCACCTAGGGAATTCAGGAGCCACGTATTTCAGAGGTGAGATTAGAAGCTGTTGGTTTCCCTTGAAGTTTCACAAGGTTGAGGTTGGTGAAGGGGGGAGGGGTGGTTCCACGATCTATGTATAGTGAGAATCGGGGTCTCGAAGTGATTAATTCCCATTAAGGAAAAGGTGTCCATCTCTATCTCCCCCCCCCCCCCCAAGTCCTCCCTTCCAAATCACCTCCACCTTGTTCCAGATGATTCCTGTCTGCATTCGATCGCACCAAACAAAATCATCCAAGTGCCCTTCTGCCCGGGAGGTGGTGAGGGCCTTTCCTACCTGGTCTTCTAGGATGCGGCTGCCGCCTTCTGCGCTGGCTCCTGGCTAGCATCAACAGGAGGGCCACCACGGCCCGCGCCCTGGGCGCTGCCCCCTCACCCGCGGCCCGCGGAACCTGCACCACGAAAGTCCTCACTCGCGGTGGGCCGCCAGCGCGCCAAATCCGGACCGTCACCAAAAATCTGCGAACCATACTCTCGTCACCCACGCCAGCTTGAGCTCCACCGCTTCTGCACCGCCCTTCGGCGGCACCGTCCCTACCCCACGAGTTGCAGCCAACTGGGACCCACACGCCGCCCCCCGCCCATCTCCGCCCCGCAAGCGCGCACCCGCGTGCTCTGCGCGCGCCCTTCCTCCCCGTCACTCCTCCCTCCCTCCCCCCCCCCCCCCCCCCCCAGCGCAAGACCTCAGAAACCGCTCAGTGCCCAGCGCGCGCGGGAAAGCCTGCGCGGGGCGTCCGCGTGAGGAGTGAGGCGCGCTCAGGGCGCCTAGCTTCCCGGGTTCACGGCACTCGGGCCTATCACCTCTTTCCCGCCTTATCCGAGCCCCCCCACACCCCTCCCCACCATCCCCTCCCCACCGCCTTCCACCCTCCGCGCGCGGGCGCCCTGCGCAGTGACAGCCATGGAGCCGGACGCTGGAAAGCATCTCCAGGCAGCCCGCCACCCCCTCCCTCCTCCTCGGCCACCTCTGTCACCTGACTCAGCCCCGGCCGGGAACCGCCACGCTCCCCGAGTTCTGGTCCTGATCGCGTCCCTGCTCCCCTGCCCCTTTCATTTTATTCCTCGTGGTCGAGAGAATCGTCCACGTCTCCCTATCGAATTATTTAAGGAGAGAGAGAGAAAGAGGGGAAAAAAAGAAGCCAGCCCAGCCAAGGCCACCCCTGGGTGCCGCCAATCAGCTGGCTGCGTGGCACAGTTTGAACGAAACTGCCGCTCGGCTCCCTCCGCTGTTAGATTCGGGAGCGGAGAGCAATGCAAAGGAACCACGCGGCGCGCGCGCAGCCCGGGCGACAGCGACGCGAGACGCTGCTGCCGGTGGCTGGCGCGGCTGGGGCTGCGAGGCCCGGGCTCCGGATCAGGTAGGTGGAGCCGGCCATGCCCCGGGAACCTGCGTCCCTTCCCCACCCCCCACCCCCATTTTCCTAACAGCTCCCCCGCAACGCTCAAGTTGCCAGGCTGGGGCGAATCTCGGGTCCGACTGATGTTGGCCGTTTTTATTTTCGGTTTTAAGTTCAAGACAACAGGGAGCATCGGAGCGAGCGCTTCTTCCTCTTTCCTCCGCCCCGCGCGCGCGCGCTCCTCCCCCACAGGCCGCTCTCGGGGCCTCTCCGCTGACCCAGCGGTCCACGGCCCTCCAACACGCCCGTGCGCCCCCACCTTCTCCTGGGAGGCCGATCCCCCCCCCCCCCAGCCCGGTCCCTTCCTTCTCTTCCACATCACTGATCCTTTCTTTCTAGAGACTCCCCCTTCCTTCTCCCTGCTGCGGTCCACTCAGAACAGGAAAAGCAGGGGGAAGGAAAGGAAGGAGTGGCAGAAAGGAGGGGTGAGCCCAGGACACAGAGATAGATGGCAGCCGGGGATGTGGATGGGAGCTGGAAGTCGAACCCCAGGGCTCCATGCTTTCAGGCCGCAGGGCCGCCTGACCCGGTGTCCAGCCCTCTTTGGCCCTCAGCCCATCTCGATGTGTCCAGGGCCTCGCTCTCACTGGCCCCGGCCCCTCCCCCCCGATACCCCCCTTCCCTTCGCGTGTGCAAGAGGTTGTAGGACTAGGCCCAGATTTTCAGAGCCTGGAGACGTGGCCCACCATGCAGTGGTCTCCAGTTCAGGTGCTCCGGCCTAGTGGCCTGGCTGCTGAAACTGGAACCATCTGCACAACGAGAGCTGGCAGGGACCTTGTGGATCAGATCCTCTCCACTTCATCCAGGAGGAAAGTAAAGACTGCCAAGTCACCCACCTAAGGACATGTTGTATCGCAGTTTGCCAGGCAAAGCAGCAAGGCAGTGGGCATCTTTACCTTTCCCATCCCCCACCCTGTCACGTGATGTTGATCAGCCCCTCTGCCCAAACCCAAAACCGAAAACTGGGTCGAGTGAAAGGAGTGAGATTTAACAGACACCCTTACACTGCTCCTCTAAACATGGGCCTCGGTTGCATTCAGAATTTACTGAGCAGGATGCTACCTTCTAAGGGAGTACTTGCTACCTTTCTATCTTGATTTTTTTTTAATCCTTTTTCACTTTCAAAAGGCTGATTCCTCCTTCAGGTCTCCTCTAAAGGATCTCTGCTAAGAGATCTTTGGGTATCATGCCACAGCATTTCCCCCCGTGTAGTACTTGGCGGGTAGAAGTCACTTTATTTAGAGATTTGTTTGCTGGCTTGTGGTCTCTGTTTCTTACAGGGGAATGTAAGCTCAGGAGAACCAGATCTTGGCTGTCTTCCTCTGCATCTAGATCACCCCCTCTCCAAATAGCCTCACAGGAGAGAGAGGGACTCCACAACCTATTATTATAATTGGGCATTTGGCTTTATGAGAGACAAAGGAAAGGTTGTGCAAAGAATTGATTCTGGTAGAAAAACTGCGGCTGGACACGAGTATAAAATTCAATAATTCTAGAAAAATGGAGATCTGAGGAGTTTTCTGGGCCCAGATTAGTCTATTAGCTGTGGCTATAAACCATGGTGAGGGGAAGCAGGGTTCTATTCTTCTTTTAAAGTACTATTTTTAGTAGTCAGAATTATCTGGGGAAAATACTCATATACATGCATATACAAATACACACATATATACTTTGTGTGTATGTAGTTATGTACATGACACGTGCATATATAGACATCATACATATGTATCATATTGCATCATAGATATTCATCATATATGTATATATACATATAGAGAGAGAGAGTGAGAGAGAAAGGAAGCAAGGGAGTGAGGGAGAGAGGGAAAGACTGAGACTTTGAAAGGCTGAGTCTGACTTATTTTGGCTCAGGAGGTATTGTGCACTGACAAGTGTTGGATTTGAAGAGTAGGCAGGCTGCCAGACTAGAGATCTAGGGGAAAGTCTGGTCAGTATGGTTGGCAGAATTGTTTAACTGCTTCCTTGAAGGACCTTAGTCTTTTCTGTTAAACCCTTCAGATGATTGAGGCCAACTCCTTCTGTTAATTTATTATTATTATTATTTTGAAACAGGGTTTTGAAAAACAAGGCCAGGCTGGCCTGGAGCTCACAATGTAGCCCAGGTTGGCCTTGAACTTGAGGTCTTCCTGACTAATCCTCTGAAGTGTTTTTTTTTTTTTTTAATTAAATTACAGTTACTAATGTACCGGTGTTTGTCACCACACCCAGTTTCCCACTCAGGTATAACTAGCAACCTACTTTATTCATAGCCTCCTGGATTTAATGTTAATGACATCTAAAAGATGCCCTCACAGACACATTTAGACATGTTTTCTAAACGTGAGTACCACAGTCTTGACAAGTTAATACACGAAATTAACCATCCCCTTACTCTATCATGCTTGACAGATGGAACTTGTTTCCCAGCCAAATTTAAGTTCAGGGGTCTGTCTGTATTTAGTGGGCCTGTGTAGAATAAATTGTAACCACTTTTTTTTTCTATAGGAATTTATTCTGCAGATAAAGACAGTTGTCTCCTTTCCTTCAGGTGAATGCCATTTGAGCAAGAGGAGGATCGTAGAGTAGGACCTTTGCTCAAAGAATGTAATTTAAAAAATTGTACCTTTAAATTTAATTGTACCTTTAATTGTAATTAAATTGTACCTTTAAATTTCATCTTGGTATTCCCTGTTGTGTAACACATGTTTTCTATCATTGTGGTATATAGAAAAAATTTTTTACTGTAAGCAAAATGGAATTAGGAAGGCATACAATTCCAAAGACTTTTGGAATTCGAATGACTTTGGGCTATGGACTCTTTAAAAAATTGGAATGAAAAATTGGGCAGTAATATATGGGTATTTTCACTTGAATTACTCACTGTATTCTCACAGTATCCCTTTAAATTTGGATTTTGCAGGAGAGAAGCCTAGAGAGGCCCAAATTATGGACACCACATCGCCAGCAAATGCAAGGGCTGGCTGCATCAGAAAGGTCTGTGGACTACAAGGTTCGTGCTTTTTGTTTTCCCAAAGACCACAGACAATATCGAGTAGTTTTTCTGTGGGTCACTTAGCAGACAGAATCATTGAATACTGGATCTTTCCTTTGCTCCCTTCCTTTGGAGTGGTAAGCTGACAGTTTATTTTCTATCTTTTAATAAAGGGAAACAATGTTCTGTTTAGTATCAGCAAATTTATCCCTTAGGCAGGGATAGGAAGGAAGATCTTATTGAGCATCCCTTGTCTTGTCACCTGCCACACACCTAGGATACAAATTTATACCTTAGATAATTATCAAAATTCCAGGAGACACATTCTTACCATTGCACATGCTCTCAAACTCAAAACTCCAAAGACATAAAACAAAAGATACTATAAGCAAGGGTAATTCTTTGGGAGGTGAACACAGTTACTATCAGAATTTTCTATGTGTATATGTTCCTTTTGACTCAGATGTCCCGCTCTTATAATGCATGTATGTATGTAAAGATACAAATTATGCATGTAAAATATATACACTAACGTATACAATCTACATGTGTACACATGCATTCTGTCTATGTAGTATTCATATAAGTATCGATAGAAGTATTTTTTTTGTCATGTGGCCTGAACTCTGGGCCTGGGTGCTGTCCCTCAACTCTTCAGCTCAAGGCTAGTGCTCTACCATTTGAGCCACAGTGCCACTTCCTACTTTTTCTGCTTATGTGTTGCTGAGGAATAGAACCCAGGGCCTCATGCATGCGATACAAGCACTCTATCACTGAGCCACCTTCCCAGCCCCTAGAAGTGTTTTTTATATGTGTATATATACATATACACAGATACCCTTTGAATTGGCAATTTTGCTACAATATAAGTATAGAAAACATACTATATAAGTGCATATAAGCATGTATGTATGTAAAATATGGAAAGTTATATATGCATATATTCCTCATGTACAATTATTGAAAGATTGTAAACACATATGCATAACATGCTGCAAGATTTCACTCCTATTGCCACAGGAAGTTCATTTAAGTATGAAGAAAAGGTTCTTCACAACAGTGAAGAACCATAGCAAAAAATGGGAGGAAAAGGAAACAGAAAGAGCAAAGGTAGTATTTTGTAAATTTTTTGAAAATTAGAACTCACCCATAAAATAAAACCTGCAGGCATAAGAAATGAAGTGCATCCATATTGGAATTGCCAAATTTCTATTTTCAATGAAAGAAATCAAGTGACAGAATAGTGTCATCTCACATTTACTTTCTAGGTATGTGTTGGAGGAGAAAGATGTTTACCATTATACACGTGAATATTTCAGGCATAATTAAATTTTCTGTGGTATCGAGGATTAAAGTCAGAAGCACATCTCCAGTTCTTTTTCCATATAGGGCCTCATTGCTTCTGCCCAGGCCAGCCCCAGACTGTGCTTCCCTTTCTACCATCTCCCAAGCATTCCCGACCATGCCTAGCTTGCTTTTGAGGCTATAGTTTTGCTTGTGTCCAGGCTGTCCTCAAATTATGATTTGTATCTCAGGAGTAGCTGGGATTATAGACATTCACTACTACCCACACAGCACAAATTTTGAATTAGTGATTTCCCTGGGATAGTGAGAATGGGGGTGGGAAGGTTTTATGTTTTTCCTTAATACTTATTACTTTCTGGCCTGTTTGTAAGTTTACTCTGAGGAAAAAAGAACTCTACCTTTAATCCACAGAAACCTGGGTTGGGGGCGGGTGGTAGTAGTGGCTAGCTCACACCTAGGGATTCTGATTCTGGAGCTGAAAAGCAAACATGAATTTTACATCTCCATAGGCGATTCTGACTTGAAAAGAAGGTTGAGACTCAATCCTTTCATGGGGACATGATTTTAAACTTGCTAACTGCAAGTGATGATGCGGGGCACCATTATTGAACAGATACAATAAATGCCTAGAAGTAAATGTTGAACGGAATGACAATTTTTCACTAGGAAAAAAATGACATTAAATTTTTGTTTATGGTATGTTTTAAACGGACCAGAAGCCATTATATAATTCTGGAAAAGCCTTATTTAAATATTAGAAATTAGATAGGTGTCGAGGATGATCAAACATCTTTCCAGCAAGGCTGCATTTATATCTTTAAGTGGCATGTTGGCAGGGACACAGCTGATGGGGAACGAATTTCTGAGCATGAAGGAAAATGATAGAATTTAGGGCCTTATAATTCATAGAAGAAACTCCATGTGTTGGCAATAATGTGATTATCTAAATGAGTTTGTGCACAGAGTCAGTTGCTGACCATTTTTGTTTATGTTATCTCTTATAAATATATTATAAAATACGTAGTAACATACATATAATATATAACACCCCTTACAGCTAGTAATTCAGTAAAGAAACTCCAAACTGAGATAACACAGAAACCTGAAGAACAGGCCTAATTGCACATATTTGTCTTGAGACACACTGAAAGCAACAACAGACACCCATACTCTGATATCTGTAGTTCAGTACTTTATATCTGGTGCAGAATGAAGTAAAGTTTTTAGGAAGATCAAATTTAGGAAAGGCAAGGGAATTGATTGTGAGATTTGTGAACAGATTATGGTAGAGGAATGTGTTTAAAATGGAATGAAGACCCAGAGGTTATATAAGACAGAGTTTAGAGGAAGCAGCCCCAACTACATGATGATGATGATGATATTGCATTAGCATTAATGGGAACTATGATAGTAGATTTAGTGTTTCAGGAGGCAAAATATGAAAAGGAAATGAGATATAGTTTAGTTTCTGTAACTGGCGCTAAGGATTTTGACTTGAATTCTGTTAGAATCAGCCAGAGCTGATTCTATTAACTCTCAAAGTCTAATTCTGAGCCCTTCTGACCAAGCAGGGAATTAACAGGAGTTTAGGATCCTCTTTAAATTTCTGCTATAATGTGGATATCTAGGAATCAGCTATCTTGATGTCTTGTTCTTAGTTCTTTTCCTAGCAAAGCATTTGCTTTATGCTCCGTTCAGACCTCAGATTACTATATTAGAATTAGTGTTCATTTTTTGACCTATATGTTGATGTACCATTGCTATGTTTAATATATTATCCATGCCAGTTGCATATTGTTCCATCAGCAGCATTTGTATCAAAGCAAATTTTCTAACATTATGTAATTAAAAAGGCTGATATATGGAAGTTACTGCATTTCTGTGAAACAAAGTATTTTTTTTCCTTATGCATATTAAAATCTTCTGAGAAAGAGACTCATGAGGCAAAAATGAAGTTGTCTCATTTGGATAGCTTAAATTGAGAAAATTTGTATAGAAAGTCAGAATATTAGTGGAGAATGAACATGTTTCCATTCTGATGAGAATGTCGCACCAGCCTGTAGACTAGATACAATGTGTTCTGGTTGATTAATTTGTGGAACTGGCTAACAAAACACCACTTTGATGTTCCTTCTATTCAGTTTGCTCTTTCCTTTTTATCATTCTCTGCCATCCAAAAAGGGCTGATAGGCACATAACAATGTGAAACAGACCCCTTTCTTAACCAGCTGGTTACTACATCACCTAGTCAAGATTTAAGGACCTAAAGCCTCAAGGAATTCAATGGGGATGAGCCAGAAAGCAACCCCATAGGAAGTGTGTAAAATCCCCAACTGATGTTCAATTTCTCTGGTTGTAGTGATGTTTAATTTTGGTGGTATTAGGGGGTTTGAATTAGGTGGCCCTGGCTTCTGAGGCTAGTAATTTACCACTGGAGCCCTGCACTCCTACTAATCTTTCTCTGCTTTAGTAACTTTTCAGATAGGGACCCCTGTTTTTATCTGGGCCAGCCTCAGATCATGATCCTTCTAGCTATGCTTCCTCCCCACTTTGGATTGCAAGTTTGTATCATCATGCCTGGCTTGTTGGTTAAGATTTGGGGGAGGACAGTCTCACTAACTTGAGAGTCTCAAGGCTGACCTTGAACCATGATCCTTCCAGTGGTCACCTTTTGAGTAGCTGGGATTACAGATGGGAACCACGGTTCTAGCCATCTAGTAATTTTTCAAAACATATTTTAGTTTTTTTGCCTTTCCTCTTTTCCCTCTAATATTCTTAAACTTTTCTCTTGGTGCAAACTCCTACATTTGTCCAGTTAGGTTTTATTCCTTTAGGTTAGAAATACCTACTTCTCCAGTACTTTATAAAATTGAACTTACTTGCTTAGCTCACTTAAGAAACTAGTTCTAGTTGCCTCACTGACAAAAGGAAAGGCAAATAGCAATAGGGAGAATCAGAGCAAAGATGAAATGAGAAAAACCTTAAAAGTTAAACTAAATCTTTATTTTCTGTCCTTGTTCCCTCAAACTTGTTTGTAACTTTCCCATGAACTTGGATAGTACTCATAAAGAATTCCACCTCACAGCTCCAGAATTTCAAATAATGTTTCTCCTCTCATCTTTTATTAACTCTTCTGTATATCTTTGCTTAGATCATACTATAGAAAATTCTCTCTCTCTCTCTCTCTCTCTCTCTCTCTCTCTCTCTCTCTCTCTCTCTGTCTCTGTCTCTCTCTCTCTCACACACATACACACACACACCCCACAGCCATGTGTACAACAATTACAGAAAGACTAGAATTTTTACTGGTAATAGGCTACAGAAAAAAAATCCAGTCCAATTCTCATTTTTAAACATGAGGGAAATTGAGGCTAATTAAAGTTACTTCACTCAGTGGTCATAGATCGAAGTAGTTAAGAAGCCTGTGTAGGAATCAGGTCTTCTACCTCTCAAGCAGTTCCTAATTTCCTTTTCCTCCATTTTCTTTTTATCAAAGAGTTACAAAAAGAATGGGAGAAGACATTGAAAAATATTGAAATATTGAAGACAATGCCAAGTAATTTCTAAAATTAAAAATATCTTGCTATTTACTTATTTGTTTGTTTATTTATTTACTTATTGTTGGTTCTGGTGCTTGAACTCTGGGCTTTTGTGCTCAAGGCCAGCACTCTACTACTTGGGCCACAACTCTACTTCTGGCTTTTTGTGGTTAACTTGAGATGAGTCTTACAGACTTTCCTGCCCAGGCTTGCTTTTTGCTATCTTTGAACTGTGATCCTCAGATCTCAGTTTCCTGAGTAGCTAGAATTACAGAGGTAAACCACCAGCACCTGGCTTTATTTTGCTTTTAAAATATATAACTACATGTATGTATGTATGTGTGTATGTATGTGTGTATCTGTCTGTCTATCATCCATCCATCTAATCATTCATACTGCCATAGCTTAATCATTAGAAGCAGGAGGAACATGAGTTTAATGCTACTAGCCCAAGCAAAATTAGTGAGACCCTATCACAGACACAAAATACTAACAAACAAGTTGAGGGCATGGCTCAAGTAGTACAATGCTTGCCTAGCATGTGTGAGGTCATGGGTTCAATCTACAGTATCAATAGGAAAAAAAAAAAGAAAATGAGTGCATATTTTGCTTTTTGAAATAACTGAGTGGTAACTGTAAAAACAGTTAAAAATTCATACACACACACGTGTGTATGAGTGTGTGTGTGTGTACAAAATGTTTTATTTTGCCACAACTAGGACTTAAACTCAAGGACCTAGGTGCTATCCCTGAGCTTTTTTTTGAGGGAGGGGGTAGTGTTCACTGTATATGTATTTTTCTTTTTGCCAGTTCTAGGGCTTGACCTCAAGGCCTAGGTGCTGTCCCTGAGCTTCTTTTGCTCAAGGATAGAACTTCTAGCTTTGTCTGTTTATGTGGTACTGAGGAATTGAACCCAGGGATTCATGCTAGGCAAGTACTCTACCACTAAGACACATTCCTAGCTTGTATTTTCTTTTTGTCTTTTTGTCTTTTTTGGACATTGCACTTGCTAGGCAAGTGCTTTGCCACTGAGATACATCCCAGACCCCTGAGATTTTTTTTTTGCTCAAGGCTACTATAATTCTACTTGTAACTTTTTTGGTGGTTATTTGGAAATAAGAGTCTCAAGGACTTTCCTCATCAAGCTGGCTTTGAACCTCACTCAGTCTCCTGAGTAGCTAAGATTATACGTCTGAGCCACAAGTATCCAGCTCATAATTTGTTTTTAATGTTTCAAAAATCTGCATAGAATTTCAATGTCAGTGAAATTATTTGTATGTTTTTAATTGAAGATCTGTTGTCTACTTTCAAAATACATAGATTGGACACTGTGTGTACTTGCTATATATGAAACTAAAATACCTACTAAACGTTAAGTAACACTGTCTCACCAGTGTTTGGGGTTTTATGAGTCTTGATCTTTCCTTTTGAATCGATTTAATTTCTTAGTTCTGAAATTACTAATTTTAACCAGAAGTGCTCAAGAAATTTAGAACACAAATTTTTTTCCTTCATAGTAGTCACACTTGTTTTCTGAATCCATTCACTTAATTGAAGAAACATAAAAATGAAGACAAGTGAATCATATTTATTCTAAATTCAATGTAATCTAAAGGTAAGTTGGAATGTAGTTCTGGCAGGTAGGAGGATTTGTAAACACTAATAATGTTTAAGACTTAGATACAGAAATTAACAGGTAGGGAGTCAGAGGCAATGCTTATCACTATACTAACATATCCTTCCATTGCACATATCCTTCAAAGTGAAGTCCTTAGCAAATTTAGTATCATATATCTCTTTGTGCTGCTAGCAAATCAAAGAAACCCTTGGGGCAGGTGGGTTTCAATTGAATTAGTTTTGACATGGCATACGTTACAGTACCACAAATGGTAGTTACTTTCTAGCACTGTTTCAGCTTCGTTTTTATAAAAAAGTGAATAAAACAAAAACAGTGCAACATAGTACTGTGGAATCCACAATCACCTTTTCTTGCTTTATATTCTCCATATAGCAAGTTGTCACTAGGAAAGATCCCACAAATACATATTTTAAACTGGCAACAAAGGAAGATGTTTTATTTAAAGATCATTGTTTATGATTCAGTGTACTATAACTATCAAATTCAAATACTATGAAACTTAAGCAACAAGGGAGAAAATAAGGGATTTCATAAATTAGGTGGATAATAATTTATTTTCTGTAGGATTAGGGTTTGAACTCAGGACTCTGCTATGTAAGCTGTCTTCCACTTGAGCCATACCCCATTCCTAAGAGGGAGATTTAAATTATCAATTGATTTATGAGTAGTTGAGTAGTTAGTAATTATACAAAAACATAAACTTAAAAATGTTATCCCTGTAGCTTATAATGATTGGCCGCTGAAGTAGTAACTAGTATATTTTCTGTTCTTATAGCTTACTTTGAAAATAAAGTCTATTATCTTTTTTTTCCTGGTGTTTCTTTTGAGTGCTATTCTGTAAAAGCCATTTAAAACAGTCTGTTTATATTTACTGGATCTTAAGGAAAAAGTCACCCTAGGAACTTAAAAGGGAGGTGACTATATTTCTGCTTTTGAAAAGTGTTAGTTGTTTTCATATTTATCATTCGTGATTTTGGATGTCACAGAGGGAATAAAACAATGAGGTCTGTAGTGTGAACTTTAAAATTTTCTTTCTTAGCTATTTTGAAATAATTTTAAAAAATAATTTCAACCATCCCCAGAGCTCTTCCTCCTTATGCTTTGTAAACTACTATTTTATTCTCTGCCTCTATCATCTTGATTGTTTTAAATTCCACATATAAGGCAGATGTGCCATTTGTCTTTTTTGACATTTCATTTAGTGTAATGTTATTTGAGGTGATGGATATGTTAACTAGATTGATTTAATAATACTACATTGTATTTATGTGTAACATTATTTTTACTTGACAAATGTATATTATAAATTCTTAATTTATAAATTCTCATGTTCGAAGCCCCACATCATCTCACAAGCTTATAGGGGTATTTCTGTGAATTAAAACCTTTCTTAAGGCACTAATGCATGTCTGGGTTGGTCTTAGCAATTTACCTATGACTGGTGGGCTGTTCTTAGTTCATCTGTAGTTGTCTTATAGTTAAATTAGTGCCTCAGCAGTTACTGGTGATGGTACAGTATTTTTGTTTCTATGATGTCTTCAATACCTTGAACATCTTATGCACTGAAGAGACTTATGCAAGAGATTCAGGACTGTAGCTTCCTAAAGTATACATTCCATTGTCTGAATTATGCCAGTTTATCTTCTAAGGTTCTGTGAAGGTAATATACCCATGAAACTAACCTAAAAATGCAATTGAGAAGAATCATGTGAGACTCTTATTTTTTCATAACATCCTACACTCGATCACCTCAAAATTATTTAATCAAAGTAAAATTTTATAGCACTGTTTCAGAAATAAACTTTTAGGTTGCTACAGTGACATTGTTTATTTTTACAAACACTTTTGATGTAATAAAGACTATATCTAGAAGCAGCTGGGACACATTGCTTTTTGGGTAGAAAGCAAATAATTATTCTTCCTTTAAACTTGATTTTCTGTAAGTAGACATTATGTTTACCATTTGTATTTCACTTTTTGTAAACCTTGAAACATAGTAATACTGTAAAATGTTTCTGTTTACAGCTATCTTTATATCCTTTGAGTCTACTGTGTCCAGACTCTGTGTGGTGGTGTGCACCGCGGTTGTGAAAATGAATAAGATGACTGCTTGCTTGCTGTTGGTGAGTTACAACATGGAGAAGGAAAATTAGCTACACTTATAGGGCTTAATTCAGAACATAAAGGAGGGGTCTCAGTTCAGCTTCAGGATGAACGAAGGCATATTCAGAGTGGATTCATGTGGATTATGAGTATGCATAAGGCTTTGAGTTTGATCTATCTGAAAGTCCCTCATGAATGATGCCTTTTGCCTCGGTATGAAGGAGTAAGAAATCCTCCCTAGATGGGGCCTCGGATACATGGACTGGCTAGCGTCCAGTTCCACAAGCCAAATAAAGTCCCATTGCCTATATTTAAAAGCAAACTTCCACAAGCTTCCGAGTCAGAAAAACTTACTTTACATATCATGAAATAAATATCCCATAGCATGTTATTCCATATTTCTCTGCCTTATTTTCCTATCTAGAAAGCCATTTCTATCTCTTGGGTTTAGTTGTTAAGTGAACAAATACATTTGAAAGCCTGGATGGTATAACTGTATGTCAATAAACACTTCTCTTCCCTAATAAGATGTGGTCTGGTTCCCAGTATTGATCTTCCCTAGTGATGTATTATTTGGGAGAAAAAAGAACTGATAGAGAAGTAAAGACTTGTGCATTTAGCATAATACAATCCCTCTCTGCAAGTCTTTATTCTCAAATATTTTTCTCTTCTTTCTGTTAAGTGTACATTTGGTATACTAGACACTTAGAAGAATGCTGTTAAAATCTTAAGTTTAACTTTCTGTGGTATATGTAAGTAGGTTTTAGAAATTGTTGGAATCTCTTATATACACTTACTACAAAAAGCAAAAGGTGTAAATATTTTTGAACCTTTAATATTTTAGAAATCACCGGTTAAGTTCATGAAAATACATTTTAAAGCCAAACCAAATCCTAGATCCGAATCTATACTGCTTAATCTTTATTAAATCAGTGAAATATCAGTTGTTCCAATTCTATAAGGAATTAAACAACACTGAAATTAAGTTCCAAAGCAGTATACTAGTAATTTGTTCAGCTAGAATCCCACAAGCAATCATGTTTTTAACAGGTTTATACTCATTCTGCCTTTTCAGCACCGTTTGAGAAATAATCCCAAAATAATTTACTGGGCAAGTCCATCTATCTTCTAAACACTAGGAATATTCCCCTGAAATACTCTATAAAGCAAACAGTGAGAAAAAAATGAACAAGGAAAATAAATAGGTTTAGTATGAAGCTAATCTAGGTGTTGGGTGAAAAGAAAAATGGCATTGGCTTGCCATATGCCGTAGTTCTGTTAAAAATCTGTAGTTCATCTGTACACAGTGGTGCAAGACTGGAAGGCTGGGGCAGGAAGATTGAGGGATTGAGGGCGCTAGACTAGACTATGTAGAGAGGCTCTGTTTCCCTTTGTTTAAAGCAACAACAACAAAATCTTTCTGTTTGACCTCTTTACCAAGGACCATGAGTTAGTCTCCCCCTTAAATACACTGTCAGAAAAGAACAATGCAAAAGTTCAAACCATCACTAAAATCTTCTTAAACGACAATTCATAGGGGGATTTGTGTTCTATCTTACATAGCACATCCTTAGAATGCCTGCTCCCAGTGTGTTCTCACGGTGACACTGCACTGACTTTGGCTGCGTCCTAGATGCCAATTCAATCAAGACTTAACTGAAAGCCAGCCAGCACCTTTGGAGAGCTGCTGTTTCACTGGGATACATCTTAGGACACAGGGGCAGATTTGCTGTGGCCCCCATGTCTTCTTCTCCCTGTCTGCTACCTGAGGGAGCTGAGCGGGGGTCCTCAGGGCTTCTTCTGGAGAGTGTTATTTTGCAAATGAATTGTCCTGCACTGCCCAGATGGCAGACCTTACCGGGTGCCCACCTCATTGCCACTCCCCCAAATCTAGTCTTCCGGGTCTCCTCTAGCCGCCAGGGATTACGACCTGCAACTGGGGTTCAAGGGGAAGCTCCTCCAGGTCAGTAGGGGCAAAAGTACCCACTGCCTGCGCCCTAGTTGCGATCACCTCCGCCACCAACACCCACCGCAGCGTCAGCTCTGGGAAGGTTCGCGGCCGTCACTGTCACTTGTGCGTTCCATCCATCACCAAGTCCAGAGACGAGCAGGACACCTGGAGCACCACACATCCCTAAAAGTCGGTGATCCAGTTTTGCCCCACCTTTCTGCCTTCGGCTTCTCCCAAAAAACGTGTAGCAACTTATGCCTGTTTGGCTCCTCCGGGGAAGCTGAGTGGCTGGGGAAGGCTGGACAGGCTTTGAGAGGCTCTGCTGTCCGGTCCTGTGTTGCAGACTTCTTTGAACTGGGTTTGAGGGAAGCGGGGTGCTGGGGAGGAAAAAAATGTCCTCGTGGGGCGGCCGGGGGCGGGAGGGGGGACTTGCCATCAATCCCCCGCGGCCGCGCGCAGGTACCGCGCCACCTCCCAGTGGCCCCGCTCCTCAGCCAGGTCCACGGGCAGCCGGCCCCAGGCGTCTCGCACGTCCAGCCGCGCCCCGGCCCGGTGCAGCATCACCAGCGTGTCCAGAAAGCCCTCCCGGGCCGCGTCGTGCACGGGCCGGGTGAGGGTGGCGGGGTCGGCGCAGTTGGCCTCGGCCCCATGGAGCAGCAGCAACTCGGCCACGCGGGTGTTGCCCATCATCATGACCTGTGGGGAGACGGGGGACACAGGTCAGGAGGCGGGCTCCGATCAGAAGATGCAGAGCTATTTTGTAGGAATATGCACCCATTGGTGTGAATAGTCCAAAGAAAGGCTCAAGGAAGCTTGAGTCGGTTCCCTTCCTTGGCTTACATCTCCCGACACGTTGGACTCTTTACTGAACTCATTAAATTCAGTGTTAGTCACCAGATGTGAAAGATAGAGCCATCTGTTATTGTGGAATCTTCTACTCAGTTTAATTGGAAAATGTTAGTCATTTTGTTAAATTATCTATGAGCAGAGTTAAGTGCAAATAGCTTTTTAAAGTCTTAAATTGTTTTTCATTCTTCTCTTATTCCCCTCCCCCACACTTTACTTCAGGTCCATCAATATTTATTAAGTAGTAAACAAAAGATGGAGTAATGCTTTAGGGGAGACAATAAACAATTAAGCTTTTTTAAGGTTTAATTTTGTTTAGTTCTCATCATTAATTCCCTGTGGAAAGGGTTTCCTTTTTATTGTCATATGAATCTGTTCTTAAACAGTGTAATCTAATTTGAACCAAGGCTGGGGATTAAAAATAATAAACCATGATACATTTCCCATCTTATAAATTAGGAAAACAAATGATTTGTTATAAATAAATCTTTCACCATTTTAATATTATAGGCTAAAATTAAAGTGCAGTATATGTAGTGCAACGTAATAATGTCACAATATTAAAAATATACAGTATTTTATAGTCACTAGGATTTCATAATGTGAACTAGTGAAAACTTTGATATTTGGAAAGAGCTTGAATGTTAGCAGTCAAACCCAAACAATATATAACTTAGGGAAAACAGAGGCAAATCCCACAGGCAGCCATTTGTGTCCGTGTACATTGTGCAGGCATTGCTTTCAACACTACTTTGAAAAATCAAATGTCCAGAACAGAGTTATTTGTTCTTGCAGGTTCATGTGCTTTGAAATGTACTATGTAATTGAAAAGCAGTATACATCTAGCATTTATTTTTTATTTTGTTTCATGAATATTAGAAGTATTCATTTCCTCCCTTAAAACATAACTATAAAATATCATTTTGGTAGTGATGTAAAAGCTATTTTACTTATAGAAAAGGGGAAAGTAGTTCTTAGTAGCTCAGAAAATGGTGAATTATAATTGTGAATAAAACTTGTTTTTATAATTAGTATAAGTTGTCGTTAAGAATACAGTATTATTTTGACTGCTTGAAAATATTCCTTATTTGTTATGACATTTGCATACTACTATGAATTAAAAAGAAATGACTATTTTCTTTAAAGATCTAAACTATTAACAAGATCCCTTAATATCAGCTTAGTTCTGAAAAGTGAGAAGTGAATATCAAATGTGACCATAACAGTCAACTTTATAGTGCAAAGTCATTGTTTTAGATATTAGAGGAATTAAATGATCACTAGTAAAATCCTGATTACTAATTAGGATTAGTAGATAAACACTGAATAAATGCATGGTAACAATAATAAGACTATGAAAACTCTACTACTATTCAAAACCGATCTAACAGTCTTTGAATGAAATGCCTTTGTCATCTCCAAACACTGAATTTCATCAACTAAACAGTAACTCTAGAAGCCTATCTATGTTTTATCTCTTCTGCCTGGTTCAAGAGACGCTGCTAACATGAAAAATATAAAAGTACTTCAGTAGTAGTGTGGTCGGGGCATCCTATCTTCATTCCTTTGAATCTAAGTCGCTTCTATGAGGAAAAAACTTACAAGGATCCAAAGCCACACCTTCAAGGTTTGCGTGGACTTTTTTCTCGCCCACCATGATTTCTGTGGAACTCTGGAGTTTAATCCAAGCTGTGTAACTTGTCGTTTGCTCTCGTCGTGATGGAATGTGGGCAGACAGAGCACTTCTCCCCAACCCACCCGTCCTTGCCCCACGTCGGCATCAATTCCCAACTGACATTTTCCTCGTCCCTCTGCCACTGAGCTAGCAGAACAAATAGTGACACGTTTCTCTACCATCGAGGAGAACATTAACGTGTGGGAGGGGAGGCCGAACTTGTAGCTCGGTGGACAGGACTTGGCTAGCCTGCAGGTGACCCTGACTTCGACTACACCTGGCACTGGGGGAAAGAAGAAGAGTGGAGGGAAAGAGGGGAAGGGGGGTGGGGAGAACGAAGGAAGAGAGGAGGGAGAGGAGGAGGAGAAAGGGGACAAAGAGGTAAGGGGGGGGAGGAGGGGAGGGCGAAAGGAGGGGGGAGGAAGGCGGGAGAAAGAGAACGGAGAGAGGAAGGGAGGGGAGGGGAGGGAGAGCGACGGGAGAAGGGAGAGGGAAGAGAGAGGGACAGAAAGCGGAGAGAGGGGCCGAGACGGTGGGACCGAGGGACGGGACCGGGAGAAGCAGGCCCCCGGCTGGAGCAATGGCTTTTTCCTCCCAACCCCATCTTGAAGCTTTGGCTGGGGGAGTCTGCCTCGCGTCGGGCTCCGCACGTCCAGCCTGGACGCGGCCGCTCGGGGCCGGGGCCGCGCCCGGAGCCTCCGGGGCGCCGCGCGCCCCCTGCCGGCGAGGCCGGGCCTCTACCTGGATCGGGCGCCTCCCGTAGCAGTTGACTCGGTTGGGGTCGGCGCCGGCTTCCAGGAGCTGCCGCACCTTCTCCACCTGCCCCCGCGCCGCGGCGCCCGCCAGTCCCGCGTCGCTGCCGCCGCCGCCGCCCCCGAGCACGCCCTTGTCCTCCGCTCGCATCCCGCAGCCTTCGGACGGTCCACCGCTGCCCGTGAGTTCAGCGACTCTGCACCTCCCTTCCCCTGTCCACACCGCCCGGCCGGCGAGAGCCGGGCTCCGCGTCGGTTCCCTCTCTCTGTCCTGCTGCGGCTGGACACAGCCCCGGGCGATGGCCGACCGGGCCGGAGTTATGTCCGGGCTTGTCCTGGCGTCCGGGACCCGGCGGGCGCTCGCGGCTCGCTGCTGGGAACCAGCGCCTCGCGCGCCGCGCCGCGGACCCGCAGAGTGGGAAGCCGGCGGGGAGCGACCGAGTTCCAGCTGGGCGGCCGGGCCGCTCTCCCCGCCCCCTTAGGCCCCGCCCTCTTCCCACCGCCCGCCCAGGCCCAGGCCCCAGGGACTGGAGGGCGGGGGAGAAGGGCGGGCCCGCAGCCGGTGACGTCACGAAACAAGGTGGGGTGGAGCTTGGGCGCGGAGGACTCCGCCCGGGACGATCTAGGACGCAGGCGCCACAGACGCGGTTGTCGTACCGGCCGAGCCGCAGGCTGGCGGTTTGCTGGCGCCGAGGGTTTTCTCCCTCCACCTCCACCTTCCCTCGCTCCTTCCCTCCCTCTCTGTCTCTCTGTCTCTGTCTTTGTCTCTGTCTCTCTCCTCTCCCTCCCTCTGTCCCTCTCTCTCCCTTCTCCACCTCCTCCTCTCTCTTCCTCTCTCTCCTCCTCCTTTCTGCCTCCTCCTCCTCTCTTCCTCTCTCTTCTTCTCTCTCTCTCTCTCTCTCTCTCTCCTCCTCCTCCCCCCTCCTTGTCTCCCTCTTCCTCTCTCCCTCTCCTCCACCTCCCTCCTCCTCCCCCTCCTCCCCCTCCCTGTCTCCCTCTTCCTCTCCTCCCCCTCCCCCTCCCCCTCCCCCTCCCTGTCCCCCTCTTCCTCTCTCCCTCTCCTCTCTTACTTCTACTTAGCCCTAGGACAGCCAGTTTCACAAGTGGCTGAGAGAATGCCTTTGGAAAACAAACAAAACGAAACACAAATCCCTGCTTTCTTAAGTCTAAATGTGGCTCCACTGCACCTGTCATTTAGGGTAAACCCATCCTTTGTCTCTGGGAAGGTGGCCCAGTGGTAGAGTGCTTGCCTACCATGCATGAAGCCCTGGGTTCGGATTCCTCAGTACCACATAAACAGGAAAAAGTCGGAAGTGGCACTGTGGCTCAAGTGGTAGAGTGCTAGCCTTGAGCAAACAAAGCTCAGGGACAGAGTCCAGGCCGTGAGTTCAAGCTTCAGGACTGGCAAAAAAAAACCAATCCCCCCTTCCTCCCAAAAAACCATTCTCAGACAGTACTTCAACTTCCCAAGTTTCACATATTGCAACAACCTTAGCAATGCTCTTTTAGATGTGTCTTCTGTTTGAATTAGTCAACCAGAAAAATAGTTGAAAATCCCGAGAATCTTGTTTTGCATGTGCACTTTATTTTTTAAAAAATGATTCTTATTTTGAATTATGGGTACAATCCTAAAATAAGTGATGACTTGATATATATATATATATATATATATATATATATAATGTATGTACACACATACATGCACACACATTTTAAGAATCTGAGATTCCTGGAGGTGCATCTGTAGTTCCTGCTATTTAGGAGGCTGAGATAAGGAGGATTGATCATTTGAATCCAAGAGTTCAAGGTCAACCAGGGCAATCATCACTCAAGAGCTCTTCTAAAAAAAAAAACAGCGGGGCGCTGGTGGCTCACGCCTGTAATCCTAGCTACTCAGGAGGCTGAGATCTGCGGATCGCGGTTCAAAGCCAGCCCGCGCAGGAGACACTGTGAGACTCCTATCTCCAATAAACCGCCAGAAAACCGGAAGTGGCGCTGTAGCTCAAGTGGTAGAGCGCTCGCCTTGAGCTGAAGAGCTGAGGGACAGCGCCCAGGCCCAGAGTTCAAGCCCCACGACCGACAGAAAAAAAAAAAAAAAAAAAAAAACCAACAAAAAAACCCCAAAAGGCCTAAAATCACAGTCCCATAATATTTATACAGTATATCTTTGCCCTCTTACCTCTTTGAACCCACCTCAGCAAGTATTTGACTTATTTATCATAATAAAAGACTTTACACAGTAATAATAAAACATTAAAAAACATGGGTGTGGTGCTGGGCCTGTTATTAAACAGGCTGAACCTGTCATTAAATCCTCTTCTGAAGATCAAGCACTTCTTTTCCTCCTAGGTGAATTTGAACTAATACATTTATTACTTTAAAGGTTTAAGGTATTACAACTGATAGTATATTAAGTTACAAAGAGAACCACATATTGTATATAAGTTACTTAAAACCTCTGTTGAGAAATTATATGAATGAGCCTCTTCTAACACCAAGCAGTTATTTACAACTTAAGTTCGGAGTGCTGGGGAAGACTGCACTTATTCAGTGAAAAGTTTCAGAACACATTGCTTGTAGCTCAGGCTCCACCTATAGAATCAATAACACTCTGCTTTAAAGACAGTGGGGCATGGAAATAGTGGTTACAGATGAAGACCTACTGACTCATTACAATTTTTCTCTTTCCCATCTTACCCTCATTTCTTAGTTTTCTGTTTAACATCTCTACTTTTTACTCACATTTGAATGTCCACATTCATCTGTGGTAGGCATCACTTGTAAGTGAACATTTCATTCTTAGGCTTGGACAGAGAAACAGAAATCTATTTCTGGGTGAAAAGCATGGATAAGCTGTTTATATTTTCTCTTGAGAACCAGTTTCAGTTTACAGTATATTGGGTATTACAGGTGTGTGTACGCAAAATGGGAGGAGGAAGAAAGATAAACAGTGGGAATTCAGAACCTTTGAAATGAATGCCATGGGTATTTTGCCAGTAACCTGAGGAGCTGAGGCACCAGACTGATATTAATGGATGTGGTGACAAATTGACTCAGTTCAGAATTTTTTTTTAAATCAGAGAAGTCTGCTTATTCTGAATTTAGTGTACAGTCTTTTAAAGTGTTCCTATGATAGAGCTAGTAGTTAAAATTTTGTTCAACAAAACTTGGATGTGTCTTGTATTCTTGGAGTCCACATTTGGATAAGACACGATCCTTGCTTTGTAAGAAAATCTTTGTAGTAGCATTCAGAACTGATAGAATTTTTAAAGCTAATATGATAATTATGCTGAGAGATATATTTACAGGGTATTTTGGAATGAAGACAGAGGGGAAATTAGTTTTGTGTGAAGGTGACATGATTGTTTTAGAGTAGGGGGCTGATAAATGAGAGTATTTAAAAGATATAGCAGATGTCAGTTAATTCCTGTAATCTCAATTTGGCATTGGATTCTTTTTTCTGGGATTTATCAAAAAGGCCACGAAAAGGTAGTCTGTAACAATTTGTGAGCCACTTTTTTGTAAGGTAGACATGCCCATTGTGTGTGTGTGGTGGAGGAGCGGGGAAGATTTGGAATTGATAAGGAAATGAAAATTGTTTTTCTTTGAGGGAAACATAGAAAACAACACATAGTAAACCAGGAAAAGAGACAATGAGGAGAATGAGACATTTCCATGAGGCAGAATAGTTGAGTTTTGCTGAGCCAGCTGGTTGAGATGAATTTGGGGTAGGGGCATGGGCTCTTGCTAGCACCATGGACAGCGCCAGCATGCCCAGCTTCACTGGGTGGTCCTAACCTGCTACCCAAATGAATTCCTGAAGCATCACCCCTAATTTTCTAATGCATTTTATCCTCTAAAATCAAAGGGGCAGCACATGGAAGATCAGTGGACTTTTCTCCCCCTCTCAAGATCAAACTGCTTATCATGGTTTTGAAATATCATTGGGTTATCTAATATTCTCTCTATAAAGAAGAGTTAACATTCTCTGTATTTATAAGAAGAAAGCGGGAGGGTGGGGAGGAGCGGGGAGACTCTCCACACTTATTGTGACTCTGTTCCAAGTAGATTACAAGTCTTGTTTCATTTAATCCTCATAAAACTCCTATATAGCTTGCATTAGTATCTCGATTTTACATAAGATAAAGGATTAGGGAATTGTTGGAGATGAAGTTTAACCTGTATGGCTTCAGAGCCACTGTCCTTTACATTAAATAATATGTCCTCACAACCATGATAGGTTAAACTGGAAAAGAAGCAACAGAGCTACTTATAATTATTTTTTCCACATTGCGTTTTCCAGGTGGCTCACCTCCCAGCACACCCTTTAGAGACTTCAAAGAGAGCATTTCACACACATTACAATAGCACATTTGTCTTGAACAGTAGAGTGAGATAATGAAATATTTTACCTCTCTCTGGAGCCCAGCTGTCTCTAGGATGAAATACAACCTGTTGTTAATGCTTCAAACACATTTAAGGGATGAACTGGATAGGAACGCTGCTGAAACTTGGAATTGTAACAGTCGTATCTTTGTAAGTGAGAAGGGGAAGGCAGGCTTGGAATTTTGGAGATAAATCGAAGGGAATGAATAGAATCAGCTCTAACATTGTACATGATACAGATATCTAGTGACAAGGTTTAGATTCTAATTGGTGAGACTAGATAAGAACTTGCCATAAAGGTATGAAGATTATTTAAATGGGCAAGAGAAGTAGTGGCCTAATCATATCTGCATTAATGTGTTCTTTTGCAAATGGTTGGACCTAACAATGTTTCCTAGTTGGATAGAAGGAAATTTAGAATCTCTTTTGGATTTTTTCCAACTTATAATTGACCCATCTCCTCCTATTTCATTTTATCAGTTGGTAATTATTGTTCCACACCCACACTATCCCCATATGTCTTTCTTTCTCTCCCATTTTCCCCCTCCCTCCCTCCTTCCCTGGGGAGGTATGCCCCCAGCCCTTTTGTTTCTGAGCCCTTACTAATAGCACATACTATATACTAGGTTTAACTGATTAGAAAATCAGAATTTTCATTTCAAAACAAGGCAAATGACATGAAAGAAAAGTTATTATGCTGTGTGAATGTGTAATGAGGAAGCTGATACAATATGTTGGTCAAGGAAATAAAGAGATATTTGAATTGAGTTCTGCAGCATTAGGAAAGAGTACTAATTAAGGTAGACAGGCAGTAGTTACAAGGGAGAGCATTCTAGGCAGCAAGAAGTGAATGTGGTAAGCTCTGAGAAGAGAGGAAGACCAAACATCTTGAAGACATTGTGGTGGAGGATGGGGAGAGGAAGACCAAACATCTTGAAGACATTGTGGTGGAGGACGGGGATATGAAGAGAATGTGGCTAGCTGGGGTTGGAGAAGTACGTATGGCAAAATCTTGTAGCAAGGT